TAAGATTTTAAATTCAGTGTATTTATTCAGGTTTGTATCTCAGCAGATACCTGGTAAGATTTTGTAATTTCCTTTCTGCTGAAATATGGTAGACATATTGAGCAAGAGACATGTTCAATTCAGCAATAATTGCGAACAATATGCTACGTGTACCACAAAGAGCGAGAGGGTTCTCCAATGTATTGAAGCTGAGGTGCTTTCTTTAATGCTTAAAGGCAAGTAGGACTAACATTAAAAGCAACACAATATTTGTCTTCGTGCAGACTCTTAACACGGGACTTTACTTTTGAACAATTGAAACTATTCCAACAACCATGGCACCGGCATCATTTATTTATAATACGTGTCTGTCTGTCTAGCAGACATAGCACATGTCTGTGTGCGTACACACAGAGACAAGAAGAAGAGACCCAGTGTCCCTGCCACTCTCTTCTACCTTTTGAAGCATTGTCTCTTGATATTGGGATTGTGATTCCTGCATGGGGCTGGAAGCCAGCAAGTCCAGCAGTTTTCCTGACTGTACTCCATTCCAGATGGACTCACAGGCCACTGCTGGACACCTCGTTGCAGTGCTGGATTTGAACTCCAAGTCCTTGTGATTGCACAGCAAGTTCTCTTGACTGCTGAATCTATTTATTGATTTATTCTGGTTTTTTTCCTTTTGTAATGGTCTAAGAAATTTAAATTGTAAAATGGTTGCTCTATTTCTTTAGGAACAGTTTTTCTGTATAAAGTTCTATTTGTAAAATATGTTCAGTTGTGTTAGATGGCAGCTAGGTATATGGTTGTAAAGCCACGGCATTTCCTTAACAATGATAACATTATATCGAAACATTTGTTTCTTAGTTAACCTGGAGATTACAGTAGATGTGACAGTGTATTCCTATAACCCCAATACTGGGAGGATGAGGCAGAAGGACTGTGAGTTTCATGCAGGCCTGAGCCACGGTTGCATCACTACATCATGGATGAATGACAATCTCATCTCATGGAAGCCACATCATGAAGTCACCAAGATACATTTTAAGAAAAACAAAAAATTTAGAAGTTATAACTACATGCATCTTCTATAAGTACTATGGATCTTTATAATACACTCAAGATAGTTTGTAATCGTTTTTCTTTTACTAAAGCAAAAATAAGGCAAAGAAAAAATGGCAATAAAGAGAAACACTCACAGAACAAAAGCCACCATGCACTGAGAATACATTTACTGAGGTGTCATGGGCGTATTATACATTGGCCTGATGATGTTCTCTAAGAGAGCCAAGGCGGGGCGGGGTCAGAGTTCACTGTTACCAGCCAATTGTTATTAAAGAATCTCAATAATTCCTAAAACAAGAAATAGTGTTTACCAAGGGTGGACATACGGGAAACACTGCAAGACAGCAGGCTCCACACTCGGAACACCCTGACATAAATACAGTGAGCAGCACAGTGGAGGAGGCCTAGGGCTTCCTCCGCAGCCACCCGGTTCCCGGTCCAACACGGCTTCGAGAGAATAAATTATCCAGCACCACTGTATGTGGCAGGGCAGCTGCCCCAGTCAGCTGCTTGCTCCTCGGGGAGATTTGAGATTATACTAATCCTGAATATGCAGGACTTCTTATCCTTCAGGAAACTTTTCGTGAACAGTATGTCTTCAATAAAGCATTTGACTCAAAGGGAGTGACTGTGGCCTCAGTGTGTTCTATGAAATGACAGTATGGTGCTGTTACAAATTAACAGTATGCTTGAAAATAGATAATAATCAAAATAGTATGGTGAGAAGATAACAGTGGAAATAATATTTCTCCTGTTTATACATTTTTGACAGAAAAAAGAGTGGAAATGGTGAGAAGAAAAGTGAGATAGTTGTATCTTCAGTATGTTGTGTCTTCAGTATTTCTTGTGTTGCCCAACATTTTTGCAAATAGCTCAGAAAGTAAAGTCAAAACAGATAATGGATGTTTTATTTCTTTCCAAACACCACGTTCGAAATGTTTATACAGCATCTGTGAAGCATGAAGTGAAACAAATATGAATATGACAAAGTGGTTGTGTCTGAACACTGAAATGTAGGGTGTTTGCCTGAGGTTTCTTACATGGAAGCTCTAGTCCTGGGTGAAAAGTTGGTAATGGTGTCCTACTACGGGAATTTACCAGAAACAACTGAACGCAATGGAAGTGTAGCCTTTATCTTTCTGGCTGATGCAGCAGAATCTATCTAACAACACAGAGTAGGATAATCTGTAACTGAAGACATACAGGAGGACATCTGTGTGCTGATTGTGATGGAAAGTTATTAGAACAGGAAGTGTGGTGTCACTGGTTATTAGCTAAAAGATGTTTCTCTTTCTTTTGCATGAAGAAAGGGGAAGAAGGGTCAACTCAATAGACGAACAGTCCTTAAGGTATTGGCAAGAGTAGAAGTTATCAAAGCACACTCAGTTCAGGCACCAACTTGCTGAACCAAAGTAAATAGGTGCTGTTTTCTCACTCAGATATGAAGAACGTGACTATTGTGCTGCTTAAAGAAAATCATTACATTGCTAAGTTGAACTAAAAGCAACATGATGCAAATTTTCTGTTAAGTCATACATCACTTGTGTGAGATTTGACTATAAAACAGAAGCAAAAGAGATGCTTTTCTACATATAAGAAGACACCTGTTATTAAGATCATTTTTTCTTGCTACATGAGAAAGTTTTGCTCCTACTAGAAAAGACTATAAAGATAAAATAAAACTGAATTGGTTTCCCAATGCTAAAAGGAATATTTGGTTTAATTGGCAAAGAGACAAGTCAGACCGTGATTTTAAAAATATTTTGATTAGTTCTTTGAGAATTTTGTACATTGCGTTTTGATCCTATTAGGTCTATTCTGTTTTGATTTTATGTGCATGAATGTTTTGTCTGGCTGTATATATGTGCATCTTGTATGTGTAGTACCCACAGAGGCTAGAAGATAGCCTCAGATGCGCTAGTACTAGAGTTATAGACAATTGTTAGTTGCTCTGTGGGTGCCAAACTTGAGGTCTTCTACAAGAGTAGCAAGTGCTCTTAACTGTTGAGCCGTTTCTCCAGTCCACAGACATACCCATTTATAATGAAGACCTCTTCTATTATTCAAGTCACAACTGTATTCTTAGCTATGTGTCAGCAAAAACATGTATCTTAGACTTCTATTGATAAGTCCATTGTCATTATAGATTCCATCATGAGGATATTTGGTCTGAAGGACATGGAAGTAAAGAGAAATTTAGTGGGATCTTCTGTTATCATGGTGTCACATATGTTGTGATTCAAGCACCGAGACATAATGAAATGATGTCTTCCCAAGTGTTCAAGTATTTCGTGATCAAGCAAGTTTACACTGTAGAATAATTAACAGAAAAATATATTTAATATAAACATTATTGGATTCCATGGCAAAGCATTCGAATTATTCATGGCAGGTTATGAACCGCAGATTTTGCAGGCCCTGGTGCACATAGCAATTCAATTCTCCTCTGTCCAGAGAACAGATGTCTTACAGAGTAGCACAGGGCCATGGGGGGTAGGGGAAGCATGTCACATTCATTATAGAATTTAGAGTCCTCATATACACGCAAATGCAAATATAAGTAGGTACCATATGAGATAAACAATGTGAGTTAGAATCAACTAATTGTTGCTGTTTATTTTCATTGTAAATTGCATTCTTTACTGTTTTCAGGGCATTGATATCTAACAAGAAGGGACAGATACGTGTCCCAGGATCAGAAAGACTTCCGTCCCTGCCTAGGGCAGTTGATAAGCAGGCGGTGAGGCTGAGGCATTGGGAATGGTAGTGTGGTAGAAGTCTGCTGCAGCACAGTGAGAGCTGGGCAGTGTGGGGCACAGGCCACACCAGGGATGAGCATAGAAGCAGTTTGCAAAAGCTTTCAACTTCGCATAAGCAAATCCCATTGTTTATGACAGAGAAAAGCAGTAAGTTGATTAAGGCGAGAGTAAAACTGTCAAAGTGGTGCCAAAGAGGAGGGAGAACATTTCTGTAATTAAAATCCTAGCTGGATTTGAGGGAGACAGCAGAAATTTTTCATCTGTCTGCACTGTCAGCTAGCTCTCTGTGCATGTGAAAATATATTTATTATTTTCTAAATTAATTTAATGAGTTCCAGATTGTTCAGGATGTCCTAATGGAAACAGGATTACACAAGATAGCACCGAGTTTTGTTCTCTCCCTGAGTTTCACCTGGCCTCTCTGTGTCATACTTTTGATCTGAGCTGTGTTTCAGTTACCACATTGAAGGAGGTTACAAAAAGGGTAAAATAATAGAAACTTAATCAGGAAACAGATTTTTGTATTGCTGCATTTTATTATGTGCTCTTGCCATGGTCCACAGCCTAACTCTGGAAAATAACAAAGGGTATGTCATTTTTAAATAAGAGCAATTGAAACCATATTGCATTGTAATTATGTGAGTTTCTACGGAGCCATCCCAAACATTTCACACCAGTTGGTCCACAGGACAAAGTTGTGAATTACTTAGGGGTTATTGGCGTTGAGTATAAACATCCTGAACTCTACATTCTGTAAAATGCTAGATAAATATTGGTAGGTGAATTTAATTTCACAGATGAAAAACAAATAACAAAGCAGCAAACTAGCTTGTCAGAAATAGCTCTTTTCTCTGAAAGTGGAGTCCGGTGACGTTCCTGCCAGAGAAGATAACGAAGTGCCTCCATGCATTGGAGAGGCACAGCACAAAGGCACAGGTCATAGTGCACATGCACAGTTCTGGTCATGGGACGCTCCTTGCTAGTAGATGACTCTCTGCATGTAAAACCCAAAACAAATGGTTAATCTACTGAGGCAAGTATTGCGTTCTGAAATCCTTGACTTGCTTTCTCTTTAATCAATCTGAAAATGGCTTCTACATAGGCAACAATTTATCTTCTGCCTTTCCAAATAAATATTTTAGAAAACTGTGGTTAGTAATTAACATTTTCTTGTTTCCTGTTCTTATCATTGACTAGATAATCACCATGGGCACAGCCTTGAGGAGAGAATCATCTATGGAGTGGAAAACAGTAGCACATTCTTGGAATGCAGTCCGAAGTCACAGAGAGCCTTGGTATACTGGCAATTTCAGAGGCGAAATGAAGATCGTAAAGAGGAGGTACAGGATTTCAGTTGACTGACTTGTCTCTATTGATTCATACATTAATTCACCCCAGTACTGCTGACTCGGAGGAAGGACGAGTACTGGTTACCCCAACACACTGCAGAACCAAACAGGAGATCTTTAGACAAGCAGCCAGTGCGAGCTGTTTTGTAGCAGACTATGTATGAGAAACAAACACAGCTGGGTAAGAGTGCCTGCCCAGGAAGCACTTGGAGCACATATTTTCCAGTCCGTATTTCTTGCCATGGTTAGTTATGAAGCATTTACATTTTCTACATTCGTGCATTGAAAGAAACAAATCAAGTTTCCCTGGAATTTTGGAGTTTGCTCACTGAATTCTGCTACATAAGATTATTTCTCTTTCTCTGTAACTTCTGCAAATGGGAAAAGGTTGGAAAAGAATTGAATACTTCCTTGATTTAGAGTGAAGAAATTGAGTCCCACCATCAATTCTGGTATTAACTATTAAAACAACTTCAGGAAGATCTTCTCAATAGATACAAATATAACAACTTATATAGAGAAAATCACACAGAAAGCTGCAAATTTTTAAACTACTTATAAGTATTAAATAAAGGTGACCAGAAAGCTTCACTCACTTGTAAAATGCATTAAGTGCATATAATTTTACAAGTTCACTATGAACACAAAAGTAAAAACAGCCCTGTTAGTTTTGGGAGTTTTTGACATATTAAGCAGTTCTAAAGTGTAGAATTACAGGGTAAAATTGTAAACATGCATACATCGTCAGATTATGCTCTCTGTGTCTTCTATTGCAAACTCTATTCAAAGTAAAAGAAAAGATAGATGTATCCTGGAGTGTACCCTTATACCATGTTACTTCCAGGAACTTGTAAATTGACAATAATTCACCAAACCTAAAATATATTTTTTCTTCTGTTGGCTTAAATACTGCTATTTTATTTTGCTTTATAGATCATATTATGAATTCATTTTAATCCTTTGCTTTCTAGGGTTTTGTTCCTGTAGTTCCCAGTTCATTATCTAATATGGACTTGTGTCACATTTGTATACTTGCTTTCAAATTTTAAATGTATCTTTATTCTTTCCTCCGGCTATCCTGAGTATTTCACATAACTATAAGATATTCTATAAAAAGTAGTGGTATTGTAAAAGTTTTCAAAGGGATCTAAAAGAACAATTGATAGACACGATAGCTTTTTCCCCAGGATAGACTTTTTTCATTTTAACTTAAAAATGTTAATTTCTAAAACCCACCTCAACAAATGTCTAAGTTTTTCTAAACAGAGTGGCAGACCTTGCATTACTCTGAAATCTGAATGCTTTCCTCTGCCTGTCTCTAGATCAGAGTGGGGGACCACATCATCAGGACAGAACAGGGGCTTCTGCTTCGCAGTCTGCAAAAGAAGGATTCAGGCAACTACCTGTGTCACGCTGTGGAGCACGGATTCATGCAGACTCTTCTTAAGGTGACCCTGGAAGTCATCGACACAGAACATTTAGAAGAACTTCTTCATAAAGATGACGATGGAGATGGCTCAAAGGCCAAAGAAATGTCGAGCAGCATGACGCCCAGCCAGAAGGTCTGGTACAGAGACTTCATGCAGCTAATCAACCACCCCAACCTGAACACGATGGATGAGTTCTGCGAACAAGTGTGGAAAAGGGACCGAAAGCAGCGGCGACAGAGGCCGGGGCACTCGCAAGGAAACAGCAACAAGTGGAAGCACATTCAGGAGAGCAAGAAAGGTAGAAACAGGAGGACCCACGAATTTGAGAGGGCACCCAGAAGTGTCTGAGCTACACCACCTCCAACCTCAAACAAGCATAGACTCGCTTAGATAATAACTGGAAAAATGCAATACACGTGGACATTTTCGTGGCATTCTGTGGATGTTTACAATGGTGGGAAATTCAACCGGGTTCCACCAATTTAAATGACGTCCCTGAGGAGCTTTCCCAGCCGGCTTTCTTCAGGACGCCAACACCTGACAGAGATCACAGGTGAGCACAGATGTTCACATCAGCCAACTTAGTGTTTCCTCTAAGAGTTCATTTTGCTTTCTTCTTTGCCTGAGAAATTAAAATGTCACTTGCCATATTGCCCTTGAAGCGAGAAAAACTGCGTCAGCAAAGCCATTTTATTGAAGCAAGAGTTGAAAATAAACTGCATGGATTTAGTAAGCAGATGAATCTTCCAAAACGTGATTGGATTCAAGGATGTTTTGTCTACCAGCACTCGTGTGTGTGTGTGTGTACTGGAGGATTAAGACAAGGCAAAGGAAACTAAGTGAAATAGTGTGTGGAAATGTACAAACATAAACCACCCATCATCCAGAAGAATAATGGAATACATTGATCTACTACTGATGTCTTCTTTCAGCTTTGATCTAAAGATGTATTTTATTAAAACTATAATTTAAATGTACCATGACAAATATGCAGTAAAAATTAGCTGTTTTCTAAGCTAGAGTAGGTTTTCGTCTTACACCTTTTGTGCTATAATTTGTTTAAAAATTCCAACTGTGTGCTGCTCTTTTTCACACTTTGTTTTCAGTTCTGTAAGGGTTAGTATATTACTTTAGATTCATACTCTCACCATTAACTGTTAATTATTGAAACCAAGATAAGAATTATGGTTTTCTCCCTTTGAGGAAATCAAAAAAATAGAAGGTTTTACCACCACCCCCTACTTTTAAAGGTATTATCTAAGTTAACTATGACATGCATAATGTTCTTAGCCAACCAAAAAATTAAGACAGCACAGAAGGGAAGAAAACATTGCTTAGATGCATTCTGAAGGATCAAGAGAAAAAAGTACTATGTATCTCATGAAAATAGCATTGTCTTATTATAGTGTTACTAAAATGACTCTTCATCCTTTGCTTGAATATTTGCATGATGTGTGAGACATATGACCTCTCATAATTCCACATTCCACTCTAGGGATTCTATTGTTTTATCATTTAATGACTTTTGACTGAGAGAGATCAAGGACATTTGGAACACCTCAATGGCACATTTCCCAACAATTCTTTAAATCAACTATATTTTCTCCACCCTATATAATACAATTATTTGTATGAGGAACATATTAAGTATTTTCATCTCAATGAGAATGAATTTATAAGCTATTTTCAGATTACACACTTCACTTAGAAAGTGCAAAACCCTTTGTTTTATGAATAACATACAAGATAATATAAAATAATTAAGAATTTGCCCCCTTTGTTGATTGAAAAAGGTTTCTTGAGAATCATTGAGTTCAAAATTCATAAGACTTTCTGCATTATGAAACAGTTCATTGGCATGAATCTCATCACTCCAGGAATCCCCCCACAGATCCTTCAGCATGCACAGAAAGGCAAGTAAACACCTTCCTGCTAATTAATGAAGTGGCGCTGATATTTTATCTCCAGTTGTCTCAGGATTCTAATTAACTAAACATTAATTTCTCACCTCAACTGCAGTAAATTGTTATTCCCTCTCCACTGAAATACTTCACAGATGGAAGCTCATGTTTCAGTTTTAATGATTATTTAAATAAACAATTTGTTGACATGTCTTTCAAATAAAAGCCTAAAAATATTCTACATCTGATTTTAGGCTCCTTGACTAACATGGTGTTGCTTTTGGAAGTACATCCTCAAAGGCAGGCTGAATTGATAAATTCTTTGAAGAACACAGTTTTTAACAGAGAATATTACCGGAAATGCTAAGTCAGAGAAAACAGGGTGCTCCATATAAGCCATTCTTCATTTTCATAGTCTTATCCATCTGAACATTTGATGTGTGTTTCATTCTAAATTTGCAGCTGAAACAAGTTTATTTGTAATTACATAAGTCTCTCATTTCTTTCTAGTTCTTAACGATAAAGGAATTGAAGGAATGAAGATTGTATGATAACTTCATGAATGCCTTCCAAAATCTGAATGCATTTTGTTTAGCACTATGAAATTGCAATAGAAAAAAGTTTAGACTTCAATTAAAAGTGTTACAAACAAACAAATATATTGACATGTCTTTATCAACCACCATGTCTGAGTTTTCAAAGGAAGTTACTAATGTAACTTACAAATAAATAAATCTAATGAGAGTCATAATCTGCCAATGTATATTGAGAGAGGGCAGTTTGCACGAAGAAGAATGAATGTCCCACTTACTAAGTTAGATGGACTTTGGCATATGCATGTGTCATCCCAGATGAGATCTGCATAGGAGATGCATGTGACATACGCATATCACCTCAGCAGTCTTAATGTCTGAAAAATCAGATACATCACAGCGGAGAGACCAGGCCCCGCCGATAGCAACTGTAACATGTAAATGCATGTGGATGCACACTTACTGCTTCTTTTATGTATAGCTTAGTGATTTATAGTGGTATGTGTTTAATATTTTTGCTACCTACACATTAGGCAAAGAGGTGTAAATAATTTTGAAAAGGTGAGGAAGAACAGCATAAAATACAAGTTTCTATAGATGCTCCATTTCAGTGTGTTCAACATCATCCTGGAGTGCAAGATTTCCCATATGAGTGACAAGGTGGCTTATGTACTACTTAAGGGCGGAGAGTGTGTGCCCCTTCATAAGCATGCTTTTTGCCAGGTCGTAAATTGTTCCATATCTGTATTTATCATTGCATTTCAGATGGGAACTAGAAAACTGGAGAGAAAAATGTAATGATATTGCTGCTGTAAATTATTCCTTTTTAGCATGTACTCAGTTGCTAAATACACATTTCTTCAAAATATTTGAATTCAGATGTCTTTACTGTTCCCTGTAACATATGGTATTGAGGAACGTAAGCTTCAAAAGTTTGGAGAGCCAGAGTCAGGAAGCTGCATAATTAGCTAACAGATTTCTTCCCTGTAGTCATCTGTAAATTGTATTCTATATTTATAGTGACAATGTGAATTTTTATGCCCTTTAAATTAAATATTGTTCTCTTTTTGCCATACCTGGAAGAAAAACATGGAGATGAAAGTTTCACATCATAATCTATTTGCTTTTGTTCAGGGTCTATATGGATGCCAGATAACTGGTGGAGGGAGGCCTGTCTTGATGCTCATGGGCAAGCATCGTATTCATATGGGTTCATTAGAGTAATTCTTTCACGTCTTTCTATAAGGATT